CTCTTTCCAAAAAGCGCTATTTTGAAATTGAATCTGCAGTCTAGACGCAGTACAGGAACTTTTGAAAAAGCGCCCCGTTTTTGAAAGAACTGCATCTAGACTGTGGTTTCAATTTTGAAAGAGCGCTTTTTTGAAAGAGCGCCATTACGTGAGTATGCAAATGAAGCACGGGATATTTAAATCCCGGCTTTATTTGCACTTTCAAAGTGTTTCATTTACATCCCTCTGCCAATAGAGGGATGTAGTCTAGATGTAGCCTGTGTGACTGTAGTTTGCTAGCCTGACTCTTCAGTTAAGAAAGAGGGATAGAACCAGGCTTTCAGTATTGAATAAGCTCTTTCTTAGGACTCCACAATAAAACAGTTCAACATAAGATCCACAAATAAACCCAGCATTCTCCCTTGACCCAGGGTCTTTTTCACGGACCTATCTGGATCCTAACATGTTTTAGTCTAGAATCACTTGCCCGGGAATCTCTCTGCTTTAAGGCATACCACAGGCACCAACCTACTTTTTATAAGGTCTTTTCCTGCCCTAGGAGCTTCCTACTACAGTCATTTTACTTCTAGAAGCTGTCTTCAGTAACTAAGCCTCTTGCTGGCTTTTATAATCAGCTGGTCCTTCTCAACTGCAAGGTAGCTGATCAGTCATATGTTGAAGATGGGTACAACTCTTCTTAAGCGACTAGTCATTCTCTGTGAGTTACAAGTCATACGCATAATTATTAATTTTAAAAAAATCACTTATGACAAATACAAAGGCTGGAGATTTGATGATCTTTATATGAGTTTGAGCCCTTTGCAGGCCCGATCTTGTGGGCTAAACAAGAAGATCTTCTTTTGAACTTGAAGATTTTTCTCTACAACAGCTAAAAAGTCTTTCAGGGACTCCAATTTTAGTAACTGTTTGATGGATCACTGCCCTTCTCTTTCAACTAAGATCCCTATGGCAATTAATTGCTTACATGGAAAAATATTACAATACATTTTTATACACTTTTCCCCTCTTTTCTTTTAATGCTGCTCTATGGACCATAGTTTACAAACCTCTGCTCTACTCTTTTAATAGTAAGAGGAAGATCGGATGTTTGTGTGGCGGGGTAACATCTTTCCTATGTAAACAAGGTTTACAGCATAAATTATTGATTTGGGTCTACCAGAGTGTCTATTCAGCTTTTTTACAAGCTCAGGAAGAAAACAGTTAACATTTTCAAGCACTAGAAACTGTGACAACGTGTGGATAACAGAGCAAATTCTGCAGCTACAAAATTGCAGGTTACAATACCAGTACAAGGTGTGACTTATTATGAAGATAGATTGTTCTCAAGTCTTGCTTTTAAGAACAATGGCTTAAGTTGAAAATGCTTAACATCAGTTATGCTAACTATTGTCATTGAATCATCACAACAAAAGAAGACATAACATCTCAGTTTTTCTGTTCCCTTTTTTTTGCTTAGAAAACTTTGGTAAAATTCTAGAATGAAAGTGCTCTGTCCCTCAACATTTGTACTATTTTAGGTCTTCCTCGAAGATCTCCCAGAAGACTTTGCTGTTGCATTAGAGGAGTACAACAGCAAAATAGGGGAGAATTTTGGCCATTTTTTATTGATGATTTCCAAGATGGCTGATATGAAACAAGAATACCAACTACCTCTTTCAAAAATTGGCAAGTGAATGCTACATTTATATATTCATATTTACTGTGCTTTATTTCATTGAAATATTATATTTGGGCTATGAGAGCCAGGTTTAGTGAAAGTGTACAATCGAAGACGGGGACCTGTCAAAGTTCAATTCACAGCACCTCTTGCAGGTTACGCTGGGAATTAGCTCTATCAACCCTCACAGAGCACCCTTTGCTAGCAGTGTCTCACCATCACTTCTGTATCACTCCTGTTCTCTTCTCTTGAGCCTACTATCCATATTAAGGCCATTTCTGGAGCTAGCTGAGCAGCCCTCTAGGAAGCCAACCTTGCCCCTCAGGCTCCTTATGGCAGATTCCCCTTCCCTGGTCTGCAGCTTCCCTTTTATCAGGGTCAGCTGTGCTCTAATTATCTGCAGCCCCACCTGTGGCTGCCTACTACTCCGCCATCCTAGACTGGTTTTAACCCTTGTAGGACCTTGTAGGGGCAGATGTCCCATCACATGGCCCAAGTTCTTAGTTCACAAGGCAACACCTGCTAGTTTCTATATGAAAGCAACAGTTCTGTGAGGACTCACATTAGTTGACAAGAAAACTGCAAGTCAAAGGACCTGCACTGATGGACTCTGAAAGAGGATTTTGTTAGCCTCATTAGAAGGAGGATAATAATAACGGCCTTCAATGAGAAAAGAGAACAGGAAAGCGTGGGTTCAAACTCAAGCAAAAAAAAAAAAAAAAAACGGAACCTGTAAGTAGAAAGAAATATGATAGTTTAACAGGTTGGCAGTGTTTGCCTGAAAAATCCATCTTGCTAGCAAGATCCTTGCTATTCTGGTTGAGATTACAAATACAGTTACCATAGTGGCTTCTAGCTCTGCACAGCTACAACTAGACAAGAGGATATGTTGCTAATGTATGTATATCCCATCCAACGTGCTTGCTCTGTGAAAAGCACGTAGTAACTGGGAGGGAGGGTTGGAGTTTGCTCAGTGCAGGTGGAATGTTCCTGGATTGTAGCAGCAGTCCTCTAAATTCTACTGAGCATATGCAAATGGTGATATGGTTCTTTTAAGCCTGCTAAATCTGGTTAGATTTTTCGTGGGATCCCCAGAAGATATCTCTGTGGTTACAGGTCTAATTGTAAATACAGGGAGTCCCCGGGTTACGTACAAGATAGGGACTGTAGGTTTGTTCTTAAGTTGAATCTGTATGTAAGTCGGAACTGGCGTCCAGATTCAGCCGCTGCTGAAACTGACCACCAGTTCCGACTTACATACAGATTCAACTTAAGAACAAACCTACAGTCCCTATCTTGTACGTAACCCGGGGACTCCCTGTATGACGCACTGGGATGGGTTCCCTAGGGAGGTGGTGGAATCGCCATCACTAGAAGCTTTTAAGTCCCAGTTTGACAAAGCCTTGGCTGGGATGATTGAGTTGGGGTTGGTTCTGCTTTGGGCAGGGGGCTGACCTCCTGAGATCTCTGCCAGCCCTAGGATTCTATGAACAGGAGTCCTCATTGTTTTTGCAGATACAGGCTAACACGCTTACCCCCCTGAGACTTGACACACGCAATATGCAGCTCACAGCTACGTCAGAGCACTTACATTTGTTAAGAGATGATCTGGAGTCAGTAATAATCAGTAGCCCTGGGAGATGGGGTGTGACACCCTACTCAATATCCTGTCTGACTCCTTCTAGTGAATAACAAAACGCTAGTCCATGGGAATAAATAACAGTTTCTAGGGCTGTGTAGTTGGGGTGTTTCTCTCCACTTAAACGTTCATGGGTTCTTGGTCCAGCATTTCAAAGCTGAAGACTGAATGTGGAAAGCTCCTCGCGGCTGTCCTGCTGCTGTTGTGTTCTGAGGCTTTGCTCCCCGTCTCCCTGGTCTGCTGGAGACCAACAGACCAGGGAGATGGGGAGCAAAGCCTCGGAGCACGCCAGCAGTGGGACAGCCGCGGCGCGCCTGGACTGTCCCGCTGCCCGCGTGCTCAGCGGCTTTGCTCCCCTGTCCCGCTGCTGGCATCCTCAGAGGCTTTGCTCCCCGTCTTCCTGGTCTGCTGGAGACCAGCAGACCAGGGAGACGGGGAGCAAACCCCGTTCGTAACTGCAGATCTGACGTAAGTTGGATCCGCGTAACTCGGGGACTGCCTGTATTGTTTCATCCCCCTGAAGGCATTTCTTCAAACCAAGTAGTTAAAGTTTGATAGAATTCTAAGCAACTGAAAGCAGAAGTTTATCATAGAAATTGATAGACAACTCTAAGTGCTGCCTATAAAGTCAAAATTATATAGAAGACTATTAAATAGAAAGAAATAAAATATGTCTTGCATTAACTGGTACTCTCTCAAAGGACAGTTGTGTTGTGTATTCTTAAACTCTTTATTTCACATCTTGTTCTGGTTAGATTTTTCAGGTGAAGAATGCAATGACTCTAACCTGGCATCTCACCTGATGAGTTGTAATGAGGGAAGAACAGCTGTTTCACCTTTTGCATGCCTCTCTGGAAATATGGATAGTGATTTACTTCATGCAGAGACTGTCAACAATGTAAGTTGTTTATAAAGTATTAATGCAGGTTCACTTTGTCTATGCTACAGAATAAATATATTCATATACTCTATATGAAAAAGGAGCTGCCATTCTAGCGATAATCGTTTACGCTTTTTATTTACCTGTTGTCTAAGAATATCAAAGTGCTTGACAAACATTGTAAAACTAAATTTCTTAACAGCTCTGAGGTAATCTCCTGATCTATTTTACAAGTATAGGGAAATTTAGGCAGCAATCTTCTACTAGAAGAGAAAACAGCAATTTATTGCTATTAGAGATGGGGTCTCTATCCTCATATCGACTTGACCTACATTCGCATGGATTTTAGTTTAAGTGCACAGGATGTATGCTCAGGCAAAGTTTGCTCTATATTTTGTATTACTCCTGAGGAGTTCATACAGGTTGGACCTCCTGATCTGGCACCCTCAGAACCTGACCGGCCCTGCATGAGTGATTGTTGTCAGACCAGAGAAGGTCATTTCTAGCCCCCTGCTACCAGCCATCCCAGCCCTTGCTCAGACGCTGGTCTCCCCCCGCCACCAACCCCCTCCCCCACTCCCACCAAGCAGCACTGCTAGAGTGTACCGGGCTACTGGCCCTGCTGGGCTGTCCAGCTGTGGCCAGGTGGGCTCTCGGACCCACTGGCAGCCCACTGCTCTGCCAGTCTGCAGGGCTCCCAGCTGCCAGTCCTCCACCAGGACTCTCTGCCTGACTATGGATGTTGCTGGACCTGGTTTAGAGAGGATCAACCTATATTCCTACAAAGAGCTTGTTTCATGTTTTCAAATATAAGAAATGCTTGTTTTCCAGGGCTCAGATTTTCTCTTTACTTTTGGTGCTGATTTTGATCTAATACAGGTTGAAACTCTCTTAACTGGGATTCTGTAGTCCAACAACATCCATGGTCTGGCACTGATGTTGCAAGACCAGAGAGTCCTGGTGGAGGGCCAGCAGCAAGGATCCCTGCAGGGCAGTGGGCTGCCCACAGTTAGCTGAAGGTGGGGCTGTCCAGCATGTAGCAGTGGGGCTGCCCAGGGGAGTTGGAAGACCTGGTGCATAGCTGCCTGGTGCAGCTGGGAGTCACAGTAGCTCAGTGGGGCAGCGAGCTGCGGCATGTGGTGCATAGCTGCGTAGCAGGTCTTGGAGCACCAGCGTGGCATGTGCAGCTGCCCTGCGGGTCCTAAAGCCACAGCGTGGTATTTGCAGCTGCCCTGTGAGTCCTGGAGCCACAGTGTGGCACGCATGGCTGCCTTGCGTGTCCCAGAGTCCCAGCGCAGGGCTGCCTGGCGAGTCTCAGAGCAATGACAGTGATGGCTGCCCAGCGGAGTCAGGGCAGCAGGTGGGGAGCTGGCCAGGAGACCAGCGGCCAGGCCAAGGGAGCTGGTGACAGGGGACCAGAAATGATCTCCCCTAGTCCAGAAAAATCCCTCATCTGGGATTGGCCAGGTTCTAAGGGTTCTGAACCAGGGAGGTCCAACCTGTACTCTATCTAGTTGAAATCTGTTAACAGAAATATTCTCTTTACATTTACTGCCACCATAATTGAAATAAGTTGTGGAGCTTTCTGGGCGTTAACTCTAGTGTTAACTGTCTGGAGATCTGCCATTTTCAGTAGGTAATACTTAATGCTTGGACACACTCCCTGGTATATTTACTTACTTCTATCTGCATTGGATGACTGCAGGGGAAGCTATTGAGCTATTTATGAGAGAATGTTAATTTACTTTGATGGAGTTGATTATTTTTTCTTTAACTTAAAAGTTTCTTGGATAAGCCCATTGTTATAAATAGAAAAATACATAAATTGTATTACTTGTAAAGAATAAAACAACTTCTAAAATTGGCATAGGTGTTTCCTTACTAGATTCCAAAAATAAAGAAGAGACAATCACCATTTTCAATCATACACTAAGCTGACAGAAGTCTTGAGTTGTCATTTTTAATTCCTTAATGAGCCTTTTTTCTACACTAGTGGTAATCCGATAAGAAGAGAATAAATAACAATTACAGGAAAAATTGTGGATTGTTTTAGTAATAATATTAATTTGTCGTAATTTAAAACTCTTTAGAAAACAAGAGGATTTGTCAGTGGCAATTTTTTCCTACCCTTTCCATCCATTGATATGAACTCTGCAGTATTTAACAGACTGATTATTTGTGCAGTTATTTTCCTTGCCTCTGCTTCAAAAAAAAGTAATTTTTGTGTGTGGATGCACTCTGGGATTCCATTTGGTATGTAGCCTTCTTGGTATAAATTTGGAAGAAAAAATTACAAAAAATAATTTAAACTTAAGCTCTTGAATATTTGGGCACTTAAATAAATGGCCTGATTTTTTTCACAAAAACATACTGAGGGTCCAGAAGATCCCGTTGTTCAATAGGCGGTGGTAGGTGCTCAGCATTTTTGAAAATCTGGTTGGTTCTTTAGGAGTCTAAGGAATTATGAACCTAATTTTCAGGTACTCTTGGCTAGGATTCTTTAAGAAATATTGCTTTTCATAAAATAAATCAACCATAATTGTAAAATATTGATTACTATTACCTTATTTTCAGCAAGAATGCTGTAAGAGCTTTGTTCTGCAAACAAAACTAACCAATGATGTCAATGGAATTTTTGCTCTTGGGGCCCCAATTCAGCAAGGTACTTGAGCATGTGCCTGACACATGAGTAATTTTACTGACTTCTGACCTTGCTGAATTGAGGCTTGCAGGATCAGACTTAAGTCTGGGACCGAGACACAGAAATAAAAAACTGGCCTGTCTGGGTGATACCTTAATGGGTGGCAACCCTACTTAAATATTAAGGTGATATGTAGATGAGTAACGTCAAAACATGAGCATGCAAAGAATGTACATAGTAAATCTAAAATATCTGAATCTTAAAATTAAGTTGTATTGTTTCCTCAGCTTATATTTCGTACCCTTGGTATTACTTCTGGAAATATTCCCGTGCTTTGTTTAAAAAAATTGGATAATCGAGGAAAAATAATGCCACTTAATGCTTATGCACTTGACTTCTATAAACATGGTTCTTTGACAGCAATGGCACAAGATAATGGGTAAGCAGCTAATGTTTCTTTGATGGCTTAATTTTTCATGGTTATAACCCTAATAGTTTAAGAGGCTCAAAACATTATGCAAATTACACAAATGAAACAATTACCTGTATTCAGGCTGTGGACAAGAGGAAAAGGGAAAAGGGGCAACTGTCCCAGAGCCCAGCAATTCAAGAGGGTTTGGGGCTCCCAGCCACTGCCGCTGCTACTGTGGCTCTTTAAATCGCCACCAAAGCCCAATGCACTCTGGACAGCACTGAGGACTGGCTGCCCTGGCCCCACCCCCGTATGATTGAAGCCCTGCCCCTTCCAGGAGTGTGGAACTGCCCTCCCCTCTTGCCAATGCACCTGGCAAGTCTGTCAGCTCCCCTGCCTCTACTATATATACTTTAAATACTGGCTACTTACATTTTTAAATCTTTTCTTTTTCTAGTATACATAAAGGAGAAGCTTATCTTCTGCTGAAAGACTTTACACTCACTATTAAAGCTATCAGGTATATATATTCTGGTAATTCTAAACAAGAAAATGGAGTAAAAGGGAAACTAATTTTCATAAACAATTTAAGATGCTTTTAAAAAATGCATGGTACCTGAACTGAAAACAAAACTCTGTTTTCACTTGTCTTTTGAAAAATGTGAATTTTTTAATAATATTGTCTTAGAAATTATTTTTACATCACTAGTAAAATAGTGGTTGAAATGGTAAGAAAGGGAAATTCACTAAATGCCTACAGGATGACAGCACAATGTTCATGAGCAAAGGATAGAATGGGTTTATAGAAAGATTAAATCTTGGCAAACAAACTTGACCTGTTTATTTAATAAACCTACATCAGTAAAGTCAGTGTAACCACCACCAGGCTAGTAGCACATTTAACACTATGAAATCATCCTTGAAAAATCATTTCAAATCAGTGTGATTAAAAACACTTTTATGTTGACTAGTAATTGACAGCAAGGCTATAAACAAAGTATAATGATAAATCTCACTATAAGTCACTTTTTCTTGGAAAAAAGCTGTGCACTTTGATACAGTGATACAGAACCTTAGACATGCTCCATTTTAAATATGTGAGTAGTTACACTGATGTCAAGAGAATGAACTCATGAAGAAGACAACTGTCTTAGGATCTCCTTACAGAACTCCCCCCACATCATTCCATAAGGAAGAGGCTAATACAACATAACATCCCATAGCTTCTTGTGGCTCTGCATTAGCAGTCCACCTCTGTTCAGTGAAGCAATTAAGTATGTTCACATCTTTAAGTGTGTTGAAATCCTATTCACAGTAATGAGGTGAAACACATGATTAAGTGCATTGCTGAGTAGGAATAAACTTAAGTATGTGTCTAAATACTTTGCTAGGAGGCAGAGTAACTAACTTCTTATTGGAGTAATGGTGACCTGTAGATGCAGAATCTGGAATCACAGAATCTAAAATTGCACAGCTGTAAATTGTAGAGTCCCCAATTCGATGAGTGGCCTCAAAACACAACCAAACTCAAGAAATTTGACATCAGAAATTAAACTATCATAGGACATATTTTTACATGGTGTACATTAGTACTTCCTACCAATTAATTTTAGAAAAAAAGAGGCTCTAAACATAATTTTTATAAAGTTTTAAATTTTCAAACTGGGAGCTGTCTTAAAATTTAAACTACTAATAAAATGTTCTTTCTTTACATAAAAGCAACTGTACATTTAATCATTTCCCTCTATTTTGCAGTGTTTCTCTAAGTGAACTCTGTGATGATGAGGAAGACAATGTTGTGCAGGCATTTAACCAACTCAGTTACAGTTATGGGGCAAAACTGGAAAAAGTCTAAGGCTAAAGACGTAAAATCATCTATGTGCTGAAGCAAAAACAAAATTCTAAAACTTTTTTCTCATTTGTTATAACTTGGAAAAAAATTTTCACAACTGTTTTAGAATAGTAATTTAAATTAGTTTTAATAACAAAGTTTTAAATGTGTCAGCAATTTAATTCCTCAGCAGCTCAGTTTTATTTCCTATTTTACTGGCACAGATATAAGATGTGTTGATTTTACAGATTTTTGTGACAGTTATGGTACTCCTGGCTCTACTGTGCATAGCAAACCATTTGGCCATGCTAGAGCTTTTTTATTCTCTGACTGACAATAGGTCTAGATTCAGATCCTCAAAATTATTTAGATGCCTAACTCCCAGGCTTTGTCTACACTGCAAGGTTTTTGTGCAAGAAACTTTTTGCAGAAGAGATCTTCCACAAAAACTTCTTGCACAAAAGCGTGTCCACACCTCAAAAGCGCAACGTTGAGCACCTGTGCTTTTTCTGATAGGCTCTTTTTGCTCAAAAAAAACCCTGTTGAGCATCCACACACACCTTTGTGACCAAGAACACTTGTGCAAAAAGGAGTTATTCTTCATAGAAAGATGTATACCTACACCACAAAAAGCCCTCTGGTTCTGCTGTTTTACTGTACATTTTCTTGTGCAAAAACATGCTTGAGGTGTGGCTGCTCTGCAGGGTTTTGCACGAAAATGGCTGGTTTTGCGCAAAAACCCTATAGTATAGACATAGCCCCATTGAAATCAATAAAACTTACTGGCCTAAATATTTTTTAGGATCTTGGCCCTACTTCCTAGCCTAAAAATGGGCCCCAATCCATCCTAATTTTAAGTGCATAAGTAATTTAACTGACTAAAATGGAACTACTCACATGCTTAATGTTATGTATATGCTCAAGTGTTTTATTGCATGTGATTTTAGAGAACATTCACCTTCCTGCATATGTTTCTTTATCCTGTCATTCTCTGGTCTCTGCTTCAAGAGGATAGAACTAGATGTTCCAGATTTTCTTTTCCAAATGTGTAGCTGCAGTAGACTTACTTGAATATTTAATTACTTTATGTAGTTCATTTTAAAAGATTAACTCTATTTTATAATGTTTAATTTGCTATTTAGTGATTAACAATATCAACAATGTAAAAAAGATTTAGGTTCAAGTATGTCTTTAAGAGAGTGTGTTAAATATTAAGAATTTAAAATAAAATATTATGTACAAAAATAATTTATGCTTTGTTTAATTAGTATTTTATAAAAATAATCTTAATTAAGGGATTAACTTTTGTTATACTCTGAGAAATTAATGTTTTAATTAAAATGTGTACCATGATTTCCCTCTTAAACTAAAATGATTACTTTACCATGAAAATGGAAAAGAGCAATGATGTACTGAAGAAGCCATGATTGACATAAAAATCTGGGTCCATATTTTTGAAAATGAAGTTGAAAAACTAGAGAAGGTACAAAGAGGGTCCACAAAAGTTATTTGAGAACTAGTGAAAAAATGTTTTACACTGAGGTTACGTCTACACAGCAGCTTTATTTCAAAATAACTGTCTGCTGTGTAGATGTGGACTAAGGTATTTTGAAACAACACTAGTTATTTCTAAATAATGTCAAAATACTGTCAAGCTGGAGGGCTTCTTACTTCGACTCCTGTAACCTTCATTGTATGAGAAGTAAGGGAAGTCAAGGCAGATTGCTCTATTTCGAAATAAGAGCTGTGTAGATGCTCCCAATTTTGAAAAAAGCTATTTTGAAATAAGCTAGTCAATTGAAGTAGCTCAATTTGCATAGATTATTTCAAGATAAGCCCTGCTGTGTAGATGCACTTTGAGAGACCTGAAGAACTGAATTTGTTTATATTGCCAAAAATAGATCATGTGTGATTTGTTTATTGTTTGGAAATACTGTTATGGGGAGAAATAATGGGTAAAAAAAGACACTAATGAAGCAAAGAATGGTCTAACAAGGACTAATGGCTGTAAGTCGAAGTCAGATAAATTCAAATTAGAAATAAGGCATACATTTTAAAGGCGAGAGTAATTAATTTTTGCAATAAACTACCAAGGGAAATGATGGATTTACCATTTCCTGGTGTCTTCCTATCAAGACTGGTTGACTTTCTGGAAGATATGCTTTAGTAGAGTGACAATAGGTCCCATATTTAAGTCCTCCTATGGGTGCCCTTACTTTTTCTTAAAAATGGACAAATTGCCCCATATCTTCTGTCTCCCAGCTCCTACCATTACTGGCAAGTCCTACTGCTGGCCAGATACAAATCCCTGCTTGCCAGTCACCCACCCAGCAATGGTGTGTGTGTGTATAAGGCCAGCAGGCTTTTTCCTTCCCTCACTGCCTCTGGCTGGGCCTGTATCCCGGTAAAACTCAAGACCCATTGGTTTGGGGCTCTGGCCTCAAGAACCTGAGCTCTGCATGTGCCAAAGCCCCATAAAGCACTGGCACTCTGCAGCCTCTCTGCACCTCAGCTAAGCTTTGGAGTAGTAGGGAACAAGCAATTTCCAGTCCGTTCATAACTCAAACATGCAAGCTCTAGAGCAGCCCTCAGGGCAAGCATTTAGAACCCTCTTTACCCTTGCCCGGCCCTGGGTCCTGCCCCCTCGAAGCACAAGGCTGTCCCATCCCCTAAGAACCCAAACTGAGCTATTTATCTGGCCAGGTTCACTGAAGTTCCTGCAATCAGATTATCTGATACACAAGGCACCCTTACAGTTTAACCCCTTCCTGCCTGTGCTGTAGTCAGGGGACAGGAGGTGACTGGGTTTTATCAGTGACCAGTAGCAGCCTGGAGATGATAGTGCCTTTGCAAACTGTACTTTCAGGAAGGGACAAAGTGCTTCTAGGAGAAGGGTGGGAGTAGAGAGGGAAGAGCTCTGCAAAAACAAGGGCCAGGTCATTCCTTCCCTCAACTTCTCCCTGAGGCTGGAAGCAGCTCCTGCCCCTTCCCTCCCACGTAGTGCTGAAAGACTGCTGGTGGCCCATTCTGGTGTGAACCAGGAAGAAATCGGTGGGTGGGGAGGAGAACATAACCATGCATGCTCCGCCCGCATATTGTCTCAAGAAGACACAGTGCCAGGTACCAGGAGAGGCAGGTCTATCCTTGGGGCCTCAGCCAGCCATAGAGGGTAGAGAGCACCCAGCAGGGATGGTTGTATTCATTCACCACCCTCCCTCCCCCCAGTGTAAGACAGGTTTATGGAAATATATATGTGTAACCTCTCTCCATGCGTGTGGGACAGTCGGGATATGCCACCATTCCCCATTTAAATCCCTAAGCCTTATATATAAGATAAATACAAATAATCTAACTATGCAGTATTTCTTTTTAACGGTCTCAATCAACTTGATGATAATTTGAATGCTTGTATGACTGATCACTAATTTGTTTGAATGAGAGTAATTTTACCAGGTGTCCCATATTCTGCATAGGAAAATAGGGTCACCCTATGCTTTAGCCAAAAACAGGCGAAAAAGCTGAGTAACCAGATGAAAATTCTGTAGCCCGTGTTACACAAAAATTAGATGAGCTACTGGGCTCTCCTGGCCTCAAAATATATGAATCTGTATAAAAAGGGTGAAAGTACAATATGATCAATCAGAAGTTTCTCCTATTAATAGGTATCCCTTGAAGAATGAGGAGACTATGAGCGCTAGTCTGACTTTTCTAAAGCTTTATCTAAAAAAGGGGAGAGAAGGATCTTTGATTCATCATGATTACCTAAATCAATGTAAAATGTAACATGGCCCACACCATACTGAGATTTTACATATCATCAATCATCTTTCATGTAAAACACTCCTTTTTCCCTAATGTGAATAAGCCACCTGGTGATTATAATAGGTCTCTCAAGTCACAGAAGTTGAGAACAAAATACAAATCTCTAATATGGCAGACTGAAGACTCTACCACTTTGCTGACCTTTATCTTATAATAGCTTATAATAGTTTCTGCATATGCAACTCATTGTACAGGTTGAACCTCCCAAAACAGGGAGACTATGGTCCAGCAACATCTGTAAACTGGCAGGACCATGCGTGTCCCTGGACCAGAAAGTCCTGGCTGGGAGCCCAGTGGCAGGAGGGCTGGCAGCTGGGATCCCTGCTGGGCTGCGAGTTTGTAGGTCTGATAGTAGCACGGCAGGGGTTGGGAGTGGGGCCAGAGCCCCTCTAATACAACCTGGGCGAGATGTGGCAGCTGTGACAACCA